CGTGCACCTGGTGAGAGACAGGATGCAAAGGCGCTAAAGCAGACATATTATTAGCAATGGAAAATGTTATCCACTCCTCATCATCCCTTAAAATCAGGGTCCCATCATACACATCTATGAGAGTCTTGGCGGTGGCCAAGAAAGGCCTACCTAGTATAAGGGGCACTTCTGCGTCCTCATTGATGTCTAAGACAACAAAATCCACAGGATAAAAGAATCTGTCAACCTTAACCCGGAGGTCTTCCACTATGCCCTTAGGATGAACTAAAGATCGATCGGCTAATTGAATACTCATCCTAGTTGCAGTTGGCTCACCTAGACCTACTTTCTTGAACAATTTTTATGGTATAACATTGATACTAGCACCTAGGTTCGCCAAGGACCTCTCTACATGCAATTTACCAGTAGAGCACGAGATAGTAAAACTACCCGGGTCCTTCTGTTTCTGCGAAAGCTTGTTCTGCAGAATGGCCGAGCACTCCTTGCTGAGCTCCAAAGTGGACAGCACGCTCAGCTTCTTCTTTTTAGAGAGGATATTTTTCAGGAACTTTGCATACTTAGGCATATGAGATAATGCCTCCATGAAGGGCACTTGAACATTCAGCTTCCTAAGCATGGGCATGAAGTTCCCGAACTCTGCCTCTAGCCAGTCTTTGTGCATCCTTGTGGGAAAAGGGAGCTTAGGATTATATTCAGCCACTACTGACTAGGACTATGGGGCTCGAACCTCTGGCTCCTTTCCCACCACCAGGTCCTCTTCCGGCTCCGGGGTATTCTGTGGTACCTTCTTTGCACTCCTCGGTGGTGCATCCTCAGTCGCAGTCCCACTTCTTAGCTTGATGGCGTGTAACCCCTCCTTATGATTTCTGGGATTCGGCAGGGGTTGGCCAGGAAGTGTGCCGGCCGGTCTCGAAGCAAGGGCATCTGCCAAGTGCCCGATTTTGGTGTCCATATCTTGCAGGAGTGCCTGCTGGTTCTTCTAGCTAGCTTCAATCTCCATGAATTTTCTCGAAGCCACTTCCATGAATTGCTCCAGTTTATTAAACTTCTGGGAACTGGTGTTGGCCAAAGTGGTCACTAGATCCCTCAAATCTGACACAGGATCGCCTAGTATTGGGACTGATGGACATGCACCAGGCTGTTGGTACTGCTGCTGCTATGGGGGCTATTGCAAAGCCTGCCCCCTGTCTGGGCTGATAAAATTGTTGCTGCTGTTGCATCTGGCTTGGGCGGGGCTGGTATGGCTGTCCCTGGGTTTGAAAACCAACTGCAAAAGCCTGAAAGCCAAGTGTCTTGGGATTGTTGTTGCCACACCAAGAGAAATTTGGATGCTGGCGCCACCCCTCGTATGTATTACAATAGGGGTCGTTGCGCCGAGCATTGTTAATGAAATTCAAATGCTCCTGCGGTGTGCTGGACTCTCGCATGGCTTGGCAGTCCTCCACCCTATGATTGGTGCTCTCACACCACTAGCAATACATCGGCTGCTGCTGCCCTGCACCTGGAACCATCCCGTTCCGATCAATTGCTTAAACTTGTTTAGAGACAACCTGCACCAACTCAGATGACTAGTTGTCCACGGCATGCACACCCCGACCTGGTGCTCACCTTGACCTCCTAGTTGTCCCCCAATCATATCCGTTCTCTGCCATCTCCTCAAAGAGAGCCCGGTAGAAGGTGCCCACCTTGAAAGCGTTGTTGAAACCATGATTGGGACACTTTAGGAAAAGACTAGTGATTCTTTCCCACGCGTCCCAGATGGTCTCATCTTATTCCTGTGCAAAATGAGTGATCTCCTTCTGCAGGTATGCTGTCTTAGATGGAGGATGATAGCGGGTAAGGAACTTGTCGGCCAGGCTGGCGAATGTAGTGATCAATCTCGGAGGCCGGGTGTCCAGCCACTCCTTTGCTTGTCCATCAAAAGTGAATGGGAAGTACCTCAGTTGGATGGCGTCCGCAGGGACCCCATTAATCTTGATTCCATCGATCAACTCATGGAATCGCCGTAGGTGTGATTTGGGGCACTCCCCTTCCTTTCCCCTGAATACCACCGAGCCGCACAACATGGTGATGACGGAGGCATGCTATTGCAAAGCCTGCCCCCTGTCCGAGCTGATAAAATTGTTGCTGCTGTTGCATCTGGCTTGGGCGGGGCTGGTATGGCTGTCCCTGGGTTTGAAAACCAGCTGCAAAAGCCTGAAAGCCAAGTGTCTTGGGATTGTTGTTGCCACACCAAGAGAAATTTGGATGCTGGCGCCACCCCTCGTATGTATTACAATAGGGGTCGTTGCGCCGAGCATTGTTAATGAAATTCAGATGCTCCTGCGGTGTGCTGGACTCTCGCATGGCTTGGCAGTCCTCCACCCTATGATTGGTGCTCTCACACCACTAGCAATACATCGGCTGCTGCTGCCCTGCACCTGGAACCATCCCGTTCCGATCAATTGCTTAAACTTGTTTAGAGACAACCTGCACCAACTCAGATGACTAGTTGTCCACGACATGCACACCCCGACCTGGTGCTCACCTTGACCTCCTAGTTGTCCCCCAATCATATCCGTTCTCTGCCATCTCCTCAAAGAGAGCCCGGTAGAAGGTGCCCACCTTGAAAGCGTTGTTGAAACCATGATTGGGACACTTTAGGAAAAGACTAGTGATTCTTTCCCACGCGTCCCAGATGGTCTCATCTTATTCCTGTGCAAAATGAGTGATCTCCTTCTGTAGGTATGTTGTCTTAGATGGAGGATGATAGCGGGTAAGGAACTTGTCGGCCAGGCTGGCGAATGTAGTGATCAATCTCAGAGGCCGGGTGTCCAGCCACTCCTTTGCTTGTCCATTAAAAGTGAATGGGAAGTACCTCAGTTGGATGGCGTCCGCAGGGACCCCATTAATCTTGATTCCATCGATCAACTCATGGAATCGCCGTAGGTGTGATTTGGGGCACTCCCCTTCCTTTCCCCTGAATACCACCGAGCCGCACAACATGGTGATGACGGAGGCATGCTATTGCAAAGCCTGCCCCCTGTCCGAGCTGATAAAATTGTTGCTGCTGTTGCATCTGGCTTGGGCGGGGCTGGTATGGCTGTCCCTGGGTTTGAAAACCAGCTGCAAAAGCCTGAAAGCCAAGTGTCTTGGGATTGTTGTTGCCACACCAAGAGAAATTTGGATGCTGGCGCCACCCCTCGTATGTATTACAATAGGGGTCGTTGCGCCGAGCATTGTTAATGAAATTCAGATGCTCCTGCGGTGTGCTGGACTCTCGCATGGCTTGGCAGTCCTCCACCCTATGATTGGTGCTCTCACACCACTGGCAATACATCGGCTGCTGCTGCCCTGCACCTGGAACCATCCTGTTCCGATCAATTGCTTAAACTTGTTTGGAGACAACCTGCACCAACTCAGATGACTAGTTGTCCACGACATGCACACCCCGACCTGGTGCTCACCTTGACCTCCTAGTTGTCCCCCAATCATATCCGTTCTCTGCCATCTCCTCAAAGAGAGCCCGGTAGAAGGTGCCCACCTTGAAAGCGTTGTTGAAACCATGATTGGGACACTTTAGGAAAAGACTAGTGATTCTTTCCCACGCGTCCCAGATGGTCTCATCTTATTCCTGTGCAAAATGAGTGATCTCCTTCTGTAGGTATGTTGTCTTAGATGGAGGATGATAGCGGGTAAGGAACTTGTCGGCCAGGCTGGCGAATGTAGTGATCAATCTCGGAGGCCGGGTGTCCAGCCACTCCTTTGCTTGTCCATCAAAAGTGAATGGGAAGTACCTCAGTTGGATGGCGTCCGCAGGGACCCCATTAATCTTGATTCCATCGATCAACTCATGGAATCGCCGTAGGTGTGATTTGGGGCACTCCCCTTCCTTTCCCCTGAATACCACCGAGCCGCACAACATGGTGATGACGGAGGCATGCTATTGCAAAGCCTGCCCCCTGTCTGAGCTGATAAAATTGTTGCTGCTGTTGCATCTGGCTTGGGCGGGGCTGGTATGGCTGTCCCTGGGTTTGAAAACCAGCTGCAAAAGCCTGAAAGCCAAGTGTCTTGGGTGTCGCAACCGTCCCTCCGGGGGTCCGAATGTCGTCGCGTCGGCATTTTGGGAGTCGCCATCGATCTTATTAGGAGTGGATCGAACACTCGTCGGTTGGCTCTGACCTTTGGGTCAGAACCGAAACATGGTCTGCGAAATAGAAATCTAGGTTCGGGAGTACGGTTACGTGTGGGGAAGTTGAGCAACACCCCCACAACGCCCTAAATCGGTACTACTTAAGTCGATAAGTTTTTATACGAGTTGGGTGTATTTTAATAATATTTTGGTAATTTTAGGTCCCACTAGACCATTTAATGATTTTATCGTATTATTTGTGATTTAGTTATACGCCCACTGACGTAAAATCTAAAGATAAAGTTAGTTGATTAATTGGACTCGAACCTTATCGGTTGCCTACGTACCCGCAAGACGGGATCAAAGTCCACGTAGTTCGTTAAGACTTTGATAATTTTAAATAAATTATAACCACGTTCCTCTGATCGTGATTCTCGTATCAAAATTTACTGTTAATGAAACTTAAGTTGATATTATGAAATTATAAAAGATAATATAGGGATTTCTATTATTAAGAGGAGATTTGGTGTGTTAGAAAAGAAACGGGATAAACTTAATGCGCAATTCTACATTTCGTATTATGGATTTTAAAAACAAATAAAATTAAATGGGATGATTAAATTAGCGAAGGATAGGCCAGCAGCCCAACTGGCTAAAACGCCGGTCGTACAACATACCCGATCGCGAGGATGCGGTTTCGAACCCAGCTGCCACCACCTTTTTTGTTTCTCGTTTTATTCCAGCGAAAGGGGAAGGGTATTTTTGTAATAACCCGAAAACACGGTGGCAGAGTTATGTAATTTGAGGAAACCCTGAGGGTAATTCAGTCATTTTAATCGATGGGGTATATATAATCTCTAATGAAACCCTAATCAATCTAAAGAGAGGCGGCCGCCCTCTCATTCTCGCCTCTCTCTCGATCCTTCCACTTCTCTCTTCCTCTTCCAGAAACAAATCGAACCATAGCCGCCCTATCCTCTCCTCTTTCTCCTCTCTTCTTCGAACCAAAAAGCCCTCTGGTTTTTCACCGCCGCCATCCTCTTCTTCTACCTTCCCTTCCAGAGAAAACCAAAATCGAAACCTAAAACAACATCTCAACATCTCTTCGCCTTTCAACCGCCGCCCCTCTCTCTTTCCTTCTCTCGGTTAGCCAAGGGGACCGCTCGCGTCGAGTTAAATCAGCCTAGAAGGTTTCGATATAGGTAAGATCGAGACATGCATGGCCTTTTTGATTCGTTTTAGGTGATTTTATTAGGATTCGTCTAACTTTCTTTCGTTTTCTTGTGACTTTGAGGCTTGGTTTCGGACGAGGGAAAAGAAGCAGTGAGGAGGTCGCCAGACCGAGGTACGATTTAAACGTAGGCTCGGATCTGGTTTCGTTTTTGGTTTATCGGTTGTATTTTTGGATTTCTGGGTTCTAATATGTTTTTTTGGTTGGGGCGGAGGAGAAGAAGGGAATCTTTGGCGGCTAAGATCCCTACCGACAAAATTTCGCCGGCGATGAGTTGACAACGGCGGCGGCAGGTGAGGATTGCTTCGATTAATTTTTTTTATTTTCTTGACTGGTATTGGTTCTAATTGATTCTGGTCTCTACGCAGGTTTTGAAATTGACAGGACTGGGTAAGGTTTCTAAACTTAGCTTAGTGTGATTTTGGAACTTGAACAAAAAAGATGGGTTGAATCTGATTGCAGATCTGGGTTTTCAATAAAAATGGTTATGTATGAGTTCAATAATTTTGGTGTTTGGTGATCTCGAAATTTTTATGCTTAGTTGCTTGGTGGATGGTTTTGGGATGCTAGATTTTTCTACAAATGAAAAAGAAGAAAAAGGGAATTTTCAATAACTGGGAAGTAATTAACATGCTCTAAAATTGATAATTTTGGCAACTAAAAGTCACTGCCTCTGCTTGTGACTTTGCCAAAATGAAGTTTGAAATATGAAGTTCAATTGTGTTTGGGTGATTTCTGCTGGATCTGGATCTAGATCTAGATCGGGGGTGATCGTAATCCTAGGGAAGAGGTTTTTTCTTCTTTCTATAGACCTTTGTCTATTTGAACTCTACTCGAATATTTTCATTCATTTACACATGATAATAAAGTATTCATCAACTATTTGCTAGATAGGGAATTTACAACGTTGACATGTTATAAAGTAGTCTATCAATTGATGAGAAAAGCAAGTAAATGCTCAATTGAAAGAAGCTTAATGCCAGAGTTGAGTTGCTAAGCGCAAATCTTGTATTAAGTGAATAGATAGAGTGCTTAAATGTAAAATAGTTTGCAAAGTACGACCATCGAGTATATAAATGGGCAAGTAGATAGACGATTATGACCGTACAATGATTGAGCATGAATTTGACGAAAACAAAAATGAGATCAGATCTTATTAAAAGGATGAAAGAGTTGGAGCACTAACCTGGTTGGAGTTTCTTAGCTTAAGAAAGGCCTTCCACTGCTTAATTCCACAAATTTCTGCGTCAATCTTGTGTAAAAGACGGATGTAAAGAAAAAATGAGCTCAAACTGCTTGTTTACTTCTGTAATGTAATTTTCTTTCTTTCCACTCCACTCGTCCCCCAAAATCAGGAGCTGAAGAGCTCTACTTATTGATAAATCGTATGCCACGTGTTGCTTCGCCATTAGTCTTTGTTAGGACTTGAAATGCCGTGTTTCTTCCTGATAGGTCGAATTTTGAGGCTGCCCCAATAGCCTCCACCTTGCATGGTCGGTTCTGACTGTTCAGGGCCTGTTCAGGATAGGCTGGCACACAATTCGATGTTGGTTGGGCTGACGAATAAGGTTGGGCCGAGTTGGGCCTTGAATTCGTTTGGGCCGGTACTGGGCTTGGCCTAGTCTTGAACTTGGGCTCTGTTTTGGCCGAATTGGGCTCTGTTTTGGGTTGTATTCTGATCGTATTCTTTTTTCATTTTGCAGGTTTGTGATCTGGTTTGGGCTCAAAGTAGGAGGGCAATGACTTCAATATTGTAATTAGTTCTAATTCTCGCTTTATTTAGAGGTCATTACCCAAGTTGTACAATGTATCAACTTTGAATATTTGATAATAAAGCTCATTCCACTTCAATTAGTCCCGTTTCAAATGCCGAATCCAAATCCAAAATGTACAACAAACTTTGCACTATAGCTATTTCTTCCATTCAATTGAGAAATTATATTTAAGATTTGCCACTGCTAATCTTAACTTAAATCGATTATATCTTAACTAATTATGCCCTAGAATCGACTAGGAGCAAATTTGACAATTGTTGGTTCATATTGACTTGCAACTGCTAGTCTCAACCACACTATCTTCAACTTCTTTTTAAATTAATCGTAGTACGACGTGACAATAATTATTTTCAATAAATCAATTATCCCGGACAAAATGTGGTGTCTACAGTTGCCCCCCTTTGTATATCTCTTTGTATAAAGAGTTATACAAAGTTTCTATAAAGACACCACATTTTGAAAAAGTAGCGTCATGGTTGTGTTAAGGATGTGAATTTGGAGTGACGTGAGAACTGTAAATAATTTTGTTTGAACGGCAGTGCTAACTAATACGGGAAGTTTCAAGCCCTTTAGCGTCTGAGAAGTATATGCAATATTTTTCGGGTGCTGACCAGCACCCCGTGCGGTGTTGAATGGTAGAGGGGCTCGCCAGCTCCTGTGCGTTGTTGACTTGTAGAGGGGCTCGCCAGCTCCTGTGAGGTATTGATTGGTAGGGGTGCTCCTCAGCTCCCATGCGTTGTTGACTTGTAGAGGGGCTCGCCAGCTCCTTTGAGGTTTTGAATGGTTGGGGCGCTCCTCAGCTCCCATGCATTGTTGACTTGTAGAGGGGCTCGCCAGCTCCTGTGAGGTATTGATTGGTAGGGGTGCTCCTCAGCTCCCATGCGTTGTTGATTGGTAGAGGGGCTCGCCAGCTCCTTTGAGGTTTTGAATGGTTGGGGCGCTCCTCAGCTCCCATGCGTTGTTGACTTGTAGAGGGGCTCGCCAGCTCCTGTGAGGTATTGATTGGTAGGGGTGCTCCTCAGCTCCCATGCGTTGTTGATTGGTAGAGGGGCTCGCCAGCTCCTTTGAGGTTTTGAATGGTTGGGGCGCTCCTCAGCTCCCATGCGTTGTTGACTGGTAGAGGGGCTCGCCAGCTCCTTTGAGGTTTTGAATGGTTGGGGCGCTCCTCAGCTCCCATGCGTTGTTGACTTGTTCCCGTAGCTGTAGGGAAGACTTTGGAATTTGGTTGCCCCCTTGCGGTATGCAGAGTGGGTGAAAGATTTTTTTTTTTTTTTTTCGGTTGCGGTAAGCAGACTCAGGAATTTGGTTGCCCCCTCGCGGTATGCGGAGTGGGGTTAGGTTTTCTACATTGTCCGTGATAGTCGACGGAACAAGTTTTAGAAGGAGGGATCTCATTTGCTCGTGAAAGCCGACGAAGCAAATTTACTTGGTTATCTAAACTGCCCGTGATAGTCGACGGAACATGCTTAGCAGAGGGTGTAATTCGCTCATGATAGTCGACGAAGAAAATTGACTAGGTTCTCTAAATTGTCCGTGATAATCGACGAAACAAGTTTAGCATGAGGGTTTTAATTTGCTTGTGATAGTCGACGGAGCAAATTTACTTGGTTTTCTAAATTGCCCGTGATAATCGACGAAACAAGTTTAGCATGAGGGTTTTAATTTGCTTGTGATAGTCGACGAAGCAAATTGACTAGGTTTTCTAAATTGCCCGTGATAATCGACGAAACAAATTTAGTAGGGGGTTTTTAATTTGCTTGTGATAGTCGATGAAGCAAATTTACTTGGTTTTCTAAATTGCCCGTGATAATCGACGAAACAAGTTTAGCAGGGGGTTTTTAATTTGCTCGTGATAGTCGACGAAGCAAATTGGCTAGGTAATTTTTAGTTGCCCGTGATAGTCGACGGAACAAGTTAAGAAGATGGTCTAATTTGCTCGTGATAGTCGACGAAACAAATTGTCTAGGATCTCTAGTTTGCCCGTGATAGTCGACGGAACAAACTTAGCAGGGGATCCAATTTGTTCGTGATAGTTGACGAAACAAATTGACTAGGTAATTTTTGAATTGTCCGTGATAGTCGACGGAACAAATTTAAAAAGACGGTCTAATTTGCTCGTGGTAGTCGACGAAACAAATTTAGTAGGTAATTTTACTTGCCTGTGATAGTCGACGGAACAAGTTAAGAAGATGGTCTAATTTGCTCGTGATAGTCGACGAAACAAATTGACTAGGTAGTTTTCGTAATGTCCGTGATAGTCGACGGAACAAATTTAAAAAGACTTGTGATTCTTTGCCAACACCGATATCGTGTGTTCATTGTATTCGTTTAGGACAAACCTAAACCGATGTTATGACTCGTCATAAATGCACTTGAAGACTAAACGTGAGACTTGAAGAATTCACGCGAATGCAGTGTTTTAACTTGCAATGATATCTTTTAACAGACATTGAAAATCCAACTAGATGTATGAGTTGTTTTGGAGATTGTTGGCAATTAATGCATGATTCATTTTAACATATGATGATGTTCTTTAAGGAGTATCAAAATGATTTTCGAAATTGATTGCGTGACGAATTATGCTGATGAATTCGTGAATGTTTGAGTGCAAAAAAGGATGTGATGCATTTGATAATCTCTATGCAATTTTTATTTATTATTTTTTTTGGTCTGGGACTCCTTTAAATTGCTCATCTTCCAAGATTGTCAATCCCTTTTGATCAACTCGATCCATAGTTCATGCTTATGCTGAAGCGACTTTGAACTTGTTGTCTTGAGATATATCTTCTTGGTAGTAGTTGGGCGAAGATATACTTTGTGAGGTGAGCTGAGCATGTGTACTGCTTCAACCTTCCTGTCGGTTAGGATTAGGTTCACATGTTTTAGAGTTGTATATTTCTCGGTCTGTGTGATATATGAGGATCTCCTATGTAGTTGAAGGATTGATGGATAATCGGTTGGCTTCTTGGCTCAATGAGATCTGAATGTTCTCAAACTCCCTGACATTTCTTCATCAACTCATGATTGAAAAGTTGATTAATCTGATTCTTGAGCTCTCAGACTTCCCCATCTTCCATGGT